TTAGAATGTACTATGATATATTCATACATGCTCACAGCTCCTATTTTTAAATCAGGTTATTTATTTTCTTCCTATTGAGTGCAGGAGATTTTTATATTAATGTTTTATCAGGTACATAGTTTTCACATAATTTTTCCTATTCTTTGGGTTTTCTTCTTTTAATTCTGTTGTTTCTTGGCCTTGCAAAGGTTTGATTTACTGACACATCTATATTTTTGCTGTTGTTATCTTTGCTTTCATTGTCATATTAAAAAAAAACTTGTAAGACCAATGTCAAAGAACTTTTCCCCTATGCTTTCTCCAAGAATACTTGTGGTTTCAGAACTTTAATCCATTTTTCATAATAGCCAAAATAAGGAAGCAATGTATCCACCAATAGACAAATGAATAAAGAAATTGTAATATATACATAGTGGTGTATATATGTATGTGTGTGTGTGTGTGTGTATATATATATATATATATCTGTGTATATATCTGCATGTGTGTGTACATACACATACATATATCTAATTATTTAATTTTTCAAAGGAGTGCTATTCAGACATTAAAAAGAAGGAAGTCCTGCTTTTTGTGATAATATGTGTGAACCTGAAGTATATCATAATAAAAGAAATAAGTTAGGATGATCTTATTTGTATGTAGAATTAAAATAAGTTGAATTCAGAAGCAGAGGGTAAAACAGAATTTGCCAGGGGCAGGGGAGGGGGAAAATAGAAAGATGTAGGTCAAAGGGTAGAAACATTTAACTAAAAGAACAAGTTCCAGGAAGAAAAAATGTACAGCATGGGTGGTAATATGTTAAGTAATTTCATTGTGATCATCATTACACAATGTGTGAGTGTGTGTGTTTGTGTATGTGCACATATATGTGTATACATATATATGTAAAATACATATGTGTACATGAATATATTATTCATCTTCAGTATGTTCAATCTTATTTGCTGATTGTTTTTAAATAAAATAAATAAAAAGAATTTTTTTAAAAGCTACATCTCAAAGTTAAGAAAATTGTGAACAAGTCTCCAAGGCCAAACTGCTGATTTTCCTTCTTCTTCCCATTATAACCTTGAAGAGATTTCTTTCCAAGTACTTTCAAGTCATATGCCTCATGGAATCTAGGTTCTAAGCTACCACCCCCAAAATTTTTAGCATAGTGTGAGGAATAATACTGTTAAAAACACCGCAAGATATATATACAGTTGACAAGTATATTTTTGCTGCCACATTGACAGAAGTATGTTTTCAATATCATTAACATTTGTTTATAGAGGGTTTTATATTACCAATAAATTACAGGAAGATCATGAACATATCTTCCAGGTGCCCACTGATAATAAATGAGAACCTGTTAAGGATCACTGGCCAATGGAACAGTTGTGAGAGAGACATGTTTTTCTTCCAAGTGGGCTTCAACTTCTGAACAGTGCAAGCAAAATACAACTCTTATCTCAAGTGACTTTTCTTACTATGCCTTGTGATTCAAGTCCCTCTCCCCCTACTAGAATGACCGACCAGCAGGAGTAGGGGCCATGAGTCAAAGATATAGGAATGGAAATTGCACATTCTCATAAGAGACTCACCTTTGGTTTCCCCGTCATCCCAGAAAAGTTTTCCTGTTGCTTCTTTGTTCTCATCCAGGGCAATAATGAGACCAAGAGGGTTCCGTCGACTGTGGGAAATAAGAACTAGGTAAGAAAAAAAGATCAGGACACAAAGAATTTTGCTGATTTGTTTCTACAAATTTCAAATAATAAAAGTTACTAGCAATAGATGGCCCTGCTTTCCTCTGAAACAAAGGACAAATTAGAAGGTGATTCTTTTTGTCACAGAAGATAGAGGTACCTCAAACATTATAATTAAACATCCATGTGGGAGGCCAATAATTTAAGCATCAGAATCACTGCAATAGCTATAATAAAACCAGTGACTGCAACTATTACTTAGATACAAATTACTAGAGAAAAAGAAATTCTAGACAATAATGATACAGTCAGGTCATTTTAGAGATGAAACCTACAGAAGTGCCATCAGATGTGAGAGAGAGAAACTCTTCCCCATCTAAGGGCCATTTTTACTCAGGAAGCAAAAACACACAATAATGTCCATTTACATCATGGAAACTTCCCTTATTTGATTGCTTACTATTATTTTGTTTGGGGTGAAAAACAAAACATTCCAATTATCTGCCTTATAATTTAGAACAGGAAACACAAAATAATGCTCAAAGAATGGTGCAAGTTCTGGATATAGAGAAAGAGGAAGAAAGCAAGCATTTCTTTGGGTATCTCCTCATGTTGCCACACCTCTGTACTCCATCCTGGTTTGCAGTGCACTCTCGGGTACGCTTCCCTGGCCTAATATTCCCTGTGTGCTCTTTCACATGTTAGCCTCCACTGCACAAGTCAGGTTCTGTGACCAACAAAATCACCTGCTTTCATTCACAGTGCAAGTATTGGATGTCATTGCTAATCTAGGAGAATAAATCCCTACTTGTGACCTCCTCTTTGACCTTCCATATTATAACAAAGATTGGACATAGTCACCAAATAACCAAAGCAGAAAATGAACAGTGACACATAAAGTGAGATCCTACAGGAGTCCAGAGTGACACTTCCAGAAGGATGGACTAGATATTTTAAAGAACCCACCCTCTAAAATATTAATTGATCCTAGATAAATTACAACATATGTTCTTATTAAGAAACATTGTTGTTCCTGTAGGAAAAATAGGTTATATATAAGAGACAGATATGGCAACAGGTAAACAATACAATGAGCTAAATCCAAAGGGTATCCAAAAAGCAAAACCTGAAATTTCTCTGGGGCTAATGAATAATAGGTCTAATACTGATAATAATAGGTCTAATATGGGGCCACTGATTGGCAGTCTAAGGTAGAGAAGTGGAATCTTCAATTCCCATGTGAAGCCAGATCTTAGATGGGGAATTAATATGATACCAATTGCCTTTCAACTGAAGAGAAGTCAATTCACCTCTGGAGGAATTAGATACACATCTGTGACCTTAAGATTTGGGAACTAAATACTTAAGGTAATAAGTCAGCATTAAATTTTCAGCAGAAACAATTAACTATCTGTGTATATTCCCCTAAGGAATTCAGATAAAATAACTTTCGGATAGAGAATGAAATGGCTATGGTTGAAATACATAACAATATTTAGGAGAAAAGAGAAAAATCTTCTAAGGAGCAAATAATATTTTTTAAAGTTAGAAAGTCAAAGTGGTCCCATTCCCTTTGCCAAAAGAGTTAGAGAAAAGATTACTTGCAGATAAAATCTGAGCTTATCTTGGATCTTTGAAAATGTAAGAATACAAATAATACATGCTGCTGAGGTTGTGGGGGAAAAGATATACTCATTGTTGGTAGAACTGCAAATTAGTGTAAGCACTCTGGAAAGCAACATAAAGTGAGATCCTATAAGAGATTCCTCAAAAAAACTAGGAAAGGAACCATCATATGACCCATCTATTCCACTCCCAACTATCATAAGAAAGAAATGGCTCAGTAGGAGAAAGTAATGGGAAGTGAGGTTTTAGGAGGATGAATAGAGAATTCTAAATCTATATACTCCATGTAGGTATAATATGTTAAAATACACTTTTTTGTCATGTATATCTAAAAGAACAGATCAAAATTTATCCAAAGAACTAAAATCAGCAAACTATAGTGATATAGCCATCTCAATGTTTATAGATGCACAATTCACAATAGCCAAATTATGGAACCAGATTAGATGCCTATCAATAGGTGAATAGATCAAATAAAATGTGTCATATATACACAATAGAGTTTCACTCAGCCATAAAGAAGAATGAAATTATAGTTTTGGCTATAAATGGATGAAAATGGAAAATATCATGCTAAGTGAAATTAGCCAGAGTCAGAAAAGCAAGGGTCAAATGTTTGTTTTCAGTCATATGTTGAAGCTAGAGGAAAATAAGGGGACAAAGGACAGGGAGAACTGGATATCATAAAGACATAGGGAAGATCAGTGGAGTAGGAGATTGAGAGGGAGGGTAGAGGGAAGGGTAGAGGGAGGAAATGTGGAATGAATTCAACAAATTCATACTATGTGAATATATAACTATACTCCATACAGGGTATTCCATCTTTATGTATATGTAGAAAGAACCAATCAAAAATAAATAAATGAGCAAAAGGAAGACTAGCAGTATAGAAGAAGGAGACTAGAAGGAAGGAGTAGGGGAGAAAAGTGAGGCGATGGGGTCTGAAATGGAGGAACTCACATTTCATGCATGTATGATTTTGTCAAAATTAACCTACCTACTATGTGTAACTATAATGCTCTAATAAAAACAACAAAGACAAAAAATATATATATGTACCTAATGGCTGGGAGAGTACTCAGTGGTAATCGGCTTGCCTAGCATGCTGGAGGCCCTGGGCCTGCTGGAAAGAGTATTAAGTGCAGATACCCAAATGCAACAAAATAGATGGCTATGTTTGTGCATTTGGGGTATAGTTGCTCTGTATGTGTACTAAAATAGCAGGAGATATAGTTATCAAAGCTAACTTGGAATCAGACTATGATGGGTCTTCAGCAGTCTCTTAGTGAAAGGTTCAGACTTAAGCCGGGATGAAACAAGTTAAGATTATCATGTGAGAAAGACAATTTTGGTGTCAATGTGTAGAAGAGCCTGAAACTGAACAATTATAAAAATAAAACCAATCTGTGTTGGATTTAGGCATATTTTCGTTAAAAAGTCTATAACTGAAAAATTAAGATAATAAAGGAGGTTCAAAGAAAAAGACAGGTTTAAAGGCCAAATGTTCTCTCTGATATATAGATGGTAACACACAATAAGTTGGGGGAGGTAAGAATAGAGGCTCATTGGATTAGATAAAGGGGAATGAAGGGAAGGGAGGAGGATGGCAATAGGAAAGAGAGTAGAATGAATCAGACATAACTTTCTTATGTTCATAGATGAATATACCACCAGTGAAACTCTACATGTACAACCACAAGAATGGGATCCTAATTAGGATAAGTTATATGCCATGTAGGTATAATATGTTAAAATACACTTTTTTGTCATGTATATCAAAAAGAAAAAATAAAAGAAAGAAAGAAAGAGAGAGACAGGTTTGTGTCCTCTAAAGGACTCCCAGATTATTAAAAACAAATAAGCTAATAATTTCAGGGTCACAATATATTTATACATCTCTTTAGTATAGATGAAGACTATACTTTTGGAATCAAAAACAGAAAAATCAACAGCATGGGAGATTCGAGATTTATAGAAGAAAGGAGTTTCTGAATCCAGTTTTGAATCATAAGAAAGAAATGGCTCAGTAGGAGAAAGTAATGGGAAGCTGAGGTTATAGGAGGATAGACAGGGAATTCCAAATCTATAAGTGATAATTAATGAGGCAAAAACCTGAGAACCATGCATAGATAGATGGTCAGGTCAAAGAAGGTGGGGTGACCAGCTGACCTGGCCTGCCCTGAATTGAGTTTTCTTAAGACATGAGATTTTCAATGCTAAAACTGCAATATCCCAGGAAAGCTGGCCAGCCTAATTGCCAGTGTATTTAGAGAAACTTAAGAAGAAGTAGGGATAAGATCTTTCAAAATCCTTCTAGGTGCAGCTCTAGGTTGAGAAGAGGCCAAGGGAACACCAAGGACAGACTTAAAATCCCCTCAAGTCAGACACACATGCACACGTGTGCCTCAGGACTCTTCCTTCCTCACTCCATTCTGTGCTTCAGCATCCTCTAGTCAACATATGGAGACAGAAATGACCTGCTTTGTCAGGCTTCCCTTTGAGGATGTTCCCAGCCATGCTGTACCTGGCCATAGTCGTCGTACTTGGCTGCTGTGTGGGGAAGATATAGCCTCCTCGAAGGTGAAGTCCGATTTTGTCTCTAGGAATTTCCATCTCAACTTTTTGCTTCCTCCATCTCAACTGGGCCCCCTGAATCGGACAGATAGTCAAACACATTGGCCTTAGAGCCACAGTCTGCATTGATCACCTGTGTGCTGAGTTATCTATCCATGATCTCTCTTTTCCATTTAGCTGTCACTATATACTCAGGCAATCAAAAAAGGAAATAAAAAAATTAGGAGCAACATTTTTCATGGTTAGTTGAGGGTTTGTGAGATTGTTTGTTCCCTGCTGAGGAACAAATAATCATTATATATTATATAACCCAATAGTTCTGAACAGGAATCTGATTCCTGACCAAACTCAAATTGCCCATTAGTCCCTTTTATATTTGATCATGAGACACCATATGAGTCTTTATCTTATTGTTGAATAAAAATATTTTTTTTCAAATTCCATCATGACTGATATTATATTACTTAGTTTCACATTATCTAGGCTTTGCTGTGAAATTATGGAAAATACTACAGAAACATTCTTCAGTGAATGGATGGATGTTTCTTTTTCTAGGAAGTCATCTTGTTTATACAGCTGCAACTGTGGTCTTCAGAAGTTTAAAAAAGTCCAAGTTACTTACAGTTTCATAGTCATACCAGATGGCATCAGGCACATATGCCGTTACTTTCTCTGCACCCTAAAATTAAAACAAATATTATCCTTTATATCAGCCTCTGAGGGAATAAAATATGTTTTACTTATTTATTACATAATAGAAGTGACAATCACATCCTGAGCAGTTTGACGTTAGTGTGCTGGTCACTACTCCCTTCTGCCTCCATATCACAGAGCAAATAATAATCTGCTGTGACAATCTGGCACACCATAGGGTCACTACTTAAGCAGAGTTGTCAGCAGATGTTTCTACATTGGTTGAGAATTTGCTCAAAAATAATGACTTCTAGAGAGGACTCTGTGTATCACATTTCCCACTTCCAGAACCCCAGCATACTCTCTTCACAGCTGACTTAGCCACAGATATTAAAAATGAGTTTGGAATAAAGAAAAAAATGGGTTGGGAGAGGACACAGAGACAGAAGCAGGGACAACAAGTCTCAGTGAGAACACTTACCTCATCCAGAACTGGAGTGATGAGGAGACCTGGGCCCCATAAAAACTGCCGGTGCACATCCCAAGTTTCACTGTCCTGGTAGAACCTAGACACCAAGGAGACAGATCACTGAGATATGGGCCAATGCACCTGGCAGCTCTCCCTCAGTGCATCCAAAGCATTCAGACGGCCCTGGCAAATATCCAAAATTATTCTGAAACACCTATTCAACCCCTACCTAGCCCCCAAACAAATCTTCTTTCCCTAGTCCCTGTACCCTCTTATTACTCCTTCACGTTAGACAAAAATTCCTATTTTAACATCTATGCTAGACAGATCTCAGGCTGTAATTCTATTTGTCATGTCCTCCTTTTAAAAAAAGTAAAATGACCAATATATTTTAGAACTTTGACTATCAAGAAGGAACTAAATCTGACCTAAAAAAAATAACAGTGCAAATTTTACTTTTAGAAAATCTGCCTTTTAACAGGAAATTCTAGAAGACAGTGAAAACTTAAACCTAAAATGGATATACAGTAATGCAGATATATGCCTGCCTTATATATAAAGGAGGTAACAGTATTCTGACAAAGAAAGGCTCTTAAGTCCCACCTTGCAGAGTTAAATCAGAAGTGCTAACTGGCTGGCAAACCAGAATTATGAAATTCTAGAGATCCTTTATGATATTCTCATTTTCTTTCAAATCACAGGCTTATTCCTGGAACTTAAACAGAGACCTAGCATCATAGTGAGTTATAGGAGAGACCATCAGAGTCATACTATTGACCTTCTAGAGCTGGAAGTATAACTCACTAGAAAAGTGCTTGCCTAGTATGTGCAAGGCCCTGAGTTTGATCCCCAGCACCACAGCGGGCAAAAAAAAAGACTAAAGAAACTAAGAATGAAAGATCTTAAATGACATCTAAGATGTAGAATTTGCTGGTGGAAGAACAAAGAAAAGCCTCAAGATCCCATGACTTTAAGTCTAGTTTTCTCCCCAGAAGGAACAAGCTAAAATACTTAAATGTACTCCTATGGTAATATATAGGCTGCAATAACCTTACAAAGAGCCAATGGGCACTCAAGTCACACACACACACACACACACACACACACACACACACACTCACTTGCACTGAGTTGGGAGAACTTACTCATGTAGAAGAGGTCTGGCCACTGTGTCCCCTCGGCTGTGAGCATAGTAGAAGAGAGTGTACAGGTAAGGCAATAAAGTATAGCGAATGTTAAGGTAGTGCCTGGACGAATTCATCAGCAAGGAGTCAGCTCCAAAGGAGGCAGGATCCTGGTCCTGGGAAGAAATAAAGGTTTGCTAGGGTGAGCTGTCTACAGAAAGAATTTCCTTCTTGAATGGCTGAGGCTTAGATTGCAAGCTTTGCCTCTGAGCAGTACAGCTGGGCAAACAGTGACCATTTCAACAAATTGTCTATTGCAATTTGCAACTCATCTCCCTCATTCAGCCTAGAATTGCTCTGTTGAAATATTTTCCCATTTGCTTCTCATTACAATACAGGTAACATACAGAAAGTGTACAGTTCTTTGATAGAAAATGTTCACAGGGGGAGCCTCACACTGGTGGATTAGAGAAGGTAACTTTCCTGGTCACTCCCTGGTGTGAAGCCAAAAATCTAGACACACTGCTTCTTAGCAAGGTGAGAGAGGGGAGCTTTTCTGGGAATTAACTCTGGATATTCCAAGCAGATCAGGGAATCACGTGATTGGATAAAACAAAATAAAGAAATCCCAGCACTGCTGCTGCCAGCAGTGGCACCAACAGGTGTTACCTCCCCTGCACTAAAATAGTGGGGTGATATATCAATTAAAGGAACCCTCAATTTTAGGAGGCCTGAGGTATGTACGGATATGGAGAGACCAGAGATCAAAAATATTCCACCACTAACCTGAAAGATGTCTTGCACAACAATATAGTGTGGAGGTGGGAAAAAGAAACTAGGTCTTTCCCAGCTATCAGGGAAATCAGAGGAAGGAACCATTTTGCAGCTCCAGCATGGGGGCATGGCACCAGGGAATCTGAATCCTGACAACTGTGCCTAACCCCGAAAACAGGTTTGGCAAAACCTGGCATAGTGTGTGTCTAAGAGACCAGAAGAAAATCAAAAGTGGAGTGGGGTTTATATGGAGGAAACTGGTTGAAAACAAACACACCTGGCTTCCCCTCTCCCCTTCCAGAATGGTAGCTTATAAAGATCAGACACTTGAAAGTTCAGCTGGGAAAGTCATGCCCTGCTGACAATCCTAAAGGGTGGAGAGGAACTGATTCAGTTCAAAGACTGAAACCAAGCATCCTAAAAAAACAGATTTCATTAGTGTCTGAGGAAGAATTGACCCCTCCACCAAAAGAGTGAAACCTAGGGTTTTTTCCTAAGGCACAGTCTCCCAGCCACCCCAGCAACTGCCAGATCAGTTTAAATTTTAACTGATTTAAAATCTCCAGACCAATCCAAGGCTAACTAAGCCTAAACCCTGCCCCCAGGAGTCCTACATAAAGAATCTCCCATCACACTCCAGCAACCCCACCTAACGTACCTGAGAAGAATATTCGAAATTCAAAAAAAAAAAGAAAAATTTCCTAACTTTTCATCAAGATCCTCTTCATTATTTTATTAATTTTAATTTCTATTTTTTAAATTTTTTTTCTACTCACTGTTCAATTTTTACCTGAATGGTTCCTGAACACTTATACATATTCATACCCGTTTATTGATCTGTTTTGTTTTGTATTTGTTTCTCATTCCTAAATTTTTTAAGGTATTTATTTCTCTTTGATCAATGTTTTAAGGACTAAGATGTTTGATTAGAATAT